CCCCCCCGCCGAGCTCGCCTCGGCCGACAAGGCAGGTCGGGCCGACGTCCCCGGCGCATCCGAGCAGGCCGCACGCGGAAGCGTATCCGATGCCGGTCGAACAGCCTCGGCCGCACCCCACCATCACCACCATCACCACCACCACCACGCCACTCACAGCGCTCATTCTGCGCACCATGGCCACCACCACCATCATCACCACCCCGTTGCGGTCAACGGACACGTTGCCCACGTGCCCGCCGGATCCACCAAAATTAGCGATGTGGAGAGGCTAAGGGACGAGCTGCTCTTCGAGCGCAAACGCATCGACGAGGTCCTGCACCGTGCCGAGGCCATTCTGGCTGCCGCACGTCAGAGCAACCTTGGTGCTGATGCAGCTGCTCCGGCCCCGAGTGTGCTTCACAACGGTCACGGCCACGCGCGAGAGTCGCCTCCGCGAGGCAGCTCGGCTCGGACCAGCCCCGTTGCTGACGGCAGACCGACGCGCGTCAACCTGCCTCTGAAGGATTCGCACGCATACGACAACGGCAGCTCCTCGAGCGAAAAGGATGAGCTCGAATCGCCTCCGCCCACCCACCAGCAGCCCGCAGGCCGTCCCTTGCTTGCCCCTTCGGACTCGCAGCCGGCATCGCGTCGCAGCAGCTTCGAGCAGAGGATGGCTTCGCTGCCCGTCATGGCCGCCGTGCCCCTCAAGCGCAACTCGCCCCCGGTCTCGGCGCCGCCCGCGGCTAGGAAGGCCACGGCCTGGGGCATCGATGCGCGCTCGCCTCCCGTCGGGGCTGCCGCGAGGCAGGGCGACAAGCGTCCCCGCCCCGACGACATGGACGAAGATGACGACGTGTACAACTGGGAGAATCTGTACGGCAAGGCCAAGCTGGAAAAGGCCGGCGACTGGCGTGGCTTTGCCCGCCCTGTTGAGGATCGCAGCCAGGCGCAATCGCGCTCCGCCGCCGCTTTCCGACGCGAAGGCGCTGCCAGCCGCCCTCCTGCGATCACCAACTCGGCTCAACCCGTCGGCGCTCCGCGAACGTAAACGGCCCTTCATTCCTCTGCCTCATCACTCACATCTCTCAATCTCAATTTTCTTACTTTGCCCAGCACAAAAGCACGAGTGTGGGAGAGATATCGATCTGTGTTTACGAGGTCGCCACGACACTTTTACATCGGGAGCCAATATTGAGTCTTTTTATCTTTCTTGAGCTGAGCGGATCTTGTTTGGATGGTGCTGGCGTAGATCTAGTGCTCGAGTTCGCAAAGCAGGTCGCCTTGCGAGACCGAGTCGTTGCCTTCGACGTAGACCTTCTTGACGTGACCGCCGACGGGTGCCGAGACGACGGTCTCCATCTTCATGGCGCTCATGATGAAGAGCGGGTCTCCGGCCTTGACTGCGTGGCCCTCCTTGGCGCGGATCTCGACGACGACACCGGCAAGCGGCGAGCCGACGCTGCCAGGGTCCGAGGTGGCCTTGGGGCGCGTGACGGTCTCGACGGCGGCGCTGCGGTCCTCGATGGTGAGCGCACGCGGCTCGGCGTTGAGCTCAAAGAAGACCTCGCGCGTGCCGTTGTTGGTGTTGAGCGCACCGACGGCGAGCAGCTTGACGATGAGCAGCTTTCCGCGGTCGATGTAGGCGTGCAGCTCCTCGCCCGGGTGCGCTTTGCCGAGGAAGTAGCGAGTGGGCAGGTTGCTGAGGTCGCCGTACTGGTCCAGGAACGACTGGAACTCCTCAAAGACCTTGGGGTACATGACGTAGCTGATGGCGTCCGTCGCGCTCATCGAGCGGCCGTACTTGGCGGTAAGGTCCTTGCGGACCTGGGCAAAGTCGATCGGCTCCATGGTCGCACCGGGACGGCCATCGACGCGCTTCTTGTCGCGGATGATCTTGCTGCGCAGCTCCTCGGGGAAGCCACCGGGGGGCGTGCCGAGGTAGCCCTGGAAGTACTCGATGACCGAGCTGGGGAAGTCGAGCTTGTCGGCGCGCTCCTCGACATCCTTGGCGCTGAGCTTGTTGGCCACCATGAACTGCGCAAAGTCGCCGACCACCTTGGACGAGGGAGTCACCTTGACGATATCGCCGCAGAGCTTGTTGGCCTGGATGTAGGCGGTCTTGATCTCCTTCCACTGGGTGCCGAGACCGAGCTGTTGCGACTGGAACATGAGGTTGGTGTACTGGCCACCGGGCATCTCGTGGTCGAAGACGGACGAGTCGGACGCCTTGACGTTGGCCTCGAAGCACTGGTAGAGCTGACGAACCTGGCTCCAGTAGAGGTTGAGGTTCTGGATGTCCTCATGGCGAATGCCGGCGCCGAGGCCGGTCTGCTCGAGCGCACTGACGAGGGCACCCATCGAGGGCTGCGAGGTGAGACCACTCATGCTGTCGATGGCGACGTCCACAACATCGGCACCAGCTTCAGCACAGGCGAGCATGCTCGAGAGAGCGATACCGGCGGTGTCGTGCGAGTGCACGTGGATGGGCAGGTCTGGGTACCTCTCCCTGATGGCGCCGACGAGCATGCGTGCGGCGGTGGGCTTGAGCAGACCAGCCATGTCCTTGATGCCGAGGACGTGGATGCCGGTCTTTACGAGCTCGTCGGTGAGGTTGAGGTAGTACTCGAGCGTGTACTTGGGGTGCTTGCTCGGGTTGGCCACGTCACCCGTGTAGCAGATGGTGCCCTCGGCCACACCGCCCGCCTTCTTGGCGGCGTCGATGCCGAGCTTGAGCGAGTCGAGCGAGTTGAGCGAGTCAAAGACACGGAAGATGTCCAGACCGCACTCGACTGCCTTCTTGCTGAACTCGTAGATGGCGTTGTCTGGGTAGGCGGTGTAGCCGACGGCGTTGGCACCGCGCACGAGCGCCTGGAGCGGGATGTTGGGCACGAGCTTGCGGATCTTGCGCAGACGCTCCCAAGGGTCCTCGTACAGGAAGCGCATGGCCACGTCGAACGTCGCACCACCCCAGCACTCGAGCGAGAAGGCATTCTTGAGCACGTAGCTCGTCTCCTTGGCAATGTTGACCATGTCGATCGTTCGCAGACGAGTGGCGAAGAGACTCTGGTGCGCATCTCGCCAGGTCGTGTCCATGATGAGCGTACCCTTGTACGCACGCACAGCCTTGGCGAAAGCCTCGGGGCCCTCGTTGACAATGATGTTCCTCCAGCCCTCGGTGCATGGCTTGGTGGTGTCGAGCGTCTTGGTAGGGTCCTTGGGGTCCGTGAAGGTCGGGATCTGGATCTCGTCCTTGAGACCGGGCTCGCCCACCTGACCAGCAATCGAGCTTCCGTTGACGGCAACGTCGCCGAGGTAGGCCAGCAGCTTCTGGGCACGATTCTTGGTCTGGACGAGGTTGAAGAGCTCGGGGGTGTCGTCGATCATGGTGGTCCACGTGCTGGCCGTGGCAAAGGCCTCGTGGGTCAGCAGACGGAAGAGGAAGGGAATGTTGGTCTTGACACCGCGGATACGGAACTCGACGAGGGATCGGAGCATCTTCCTTCGTGCCACCTCGTAGGTGGCACCTCGGCAGCTGACCTTGACGAGCAGCGAGTCGTAGTGGGGCGTGATCTGGGCACCCGCAAAGCCGGAGCCGGCGTCGAGACGCACACCGTTACCACCGGCCGATCGGTACACCTCGATCCTGCCCGTGTCAGGCTGGAAGTTGGCGGCCGGGTCTTCCGTGGTGATACGGCACTGGATGGCGGAACCGCGCTTCTGGATGGTCTCCTGGCTCAGGCCGAGGTCGGCCAGGGTGGCGCCAGCAGCGATCTGGATCTGAGCGCCGACAATGTCGATGCCGGTGATCTCCTCGGTGATGGTGTGCTCGACCTGGAGACGCGGGTTGATCTCGATAAAGTAGTAGCGGTTCTGCTGGTCGACGAGGAACTCGGCGGTACCGGCGTTGCGGTAGTTGGCGGTCTTGGCGAGGCGCACGGCATCGCTGAGGATGGCCTGGCGCACATCGTCGCGGAGGTTGGGAGCAGGAGCGACCTCGACGACCTTCTGGTGACGACGCTGGACGGAGCAGTCACGTTCGAAGAGGTGTACGACGTTGCCTTCGCCGTCGGCGAGCAGCTGCACCTCAATGTGACGAGGTCGGTCGAGGAAGCGCTCGATGAAGACGGTGGGGTCGCCGAAGGCGGACCTGGCCTCGGAGACAGCACGCTCGAAGGACTCCTTGAAGTCCTCCATCTTTCGGACGACACGCATACCTCGACCGCCTCCGCCCATGGCGGCCTTGATGATGACGGGGAAGCCGACCTCCTCGACGAAGGGCTTCGCCTCTTCGTAGCTGGCGATAGGACCAGGGGTACCGGGGACGATGGGCACGTTGGCCTTGCGGGCGAGGTCACGGGCCTTGGTCTTGTCACCCAGACCGTCGATGGTCTCGGGACGAGGGCCGATAAAGGCGATGCCGGCCTCCTCGACCTTCTTGGCAAAATTGGGGTTCTCGGAGAGGAAACCGTAGCCTGGGTGGATCATGTCGACCTTGTGCTCGAGGGCGACGCGGATGATGTCGTCGATGGCGAGGTAGGCCGAGACGGGGTTGAGGCCGGCGCCGACCTGGTAGGCCTCGTCGGCCTTGTAGCGGTGGGCGCTCATCCTGTCCTCGAAACTGTAGAGTGCGACGGTGGTCATGGCGAGCTCGTGAGCGGTACGGAAGATTCGGATGGCAATCTCGCCGCGGTTGGCGACCATGAGCTTCTTGAGGGGGCCAGTAGCCTCGCCAGACATGCTGTTGCGGATGCGCTGAATGGTGGGGAAGAGGTGGCCGGTCCTCTCACCTGGAGTGCCAGGCTGGCTCTCGAAGGTGTCGACAAAGGTGCTCTTGGGAGCGCCCTTGGGGGCCTGCGACGTCTCGGGCTCGACGGGCATCTTGACGAAGGAAGCAGAAAAGAGCGAAGCGAAAGTGGTTCTCGGTCGGAAAGCTGACCCAATCAGCTGGGTTCAGAGCCTACCTGCAGCAGACCCGTGGGTGATATGCGTGCTCGAAGGAAAGGACACGATATCAAGAGATGCGGGGGGTTGCTCAACACCCTGTATTCGTCCGTGTATGAACGATGGAAACGGTTGCAGGGGTGTCGAGAGCGATGGAGGAAAAGCGTGAAGGAGGGAGGAGGAAAGGGGTGAGATGGCGATCGAGCTGAAGAAGAGCGGGGATCGCGAGCAGCGCGGGCGAGACGATGAGAAATGCACGCTGTCGACGGGGGGGTTGAGGGGTTGAAAGGCGGCCAGATGCGCTGAGGCCAACGGCCAGATCGGTCGACGCAGCTTCGTCGGTACCTCTGCGTCGCCCCAACGGGCGCAGCGGAGCCAAGCCGACGAGGCTCACAATGTCGACTTGCTGCTGAAAAAAAGGTGGGCCGAACCGGCCCAACGGCACTTTCTCGCTCAGACCACACTCTAGTGAAACCACCCATCCGTACGGAGGCGTGGGTCGGTGCACCGATCGGCATCTGCAAAGGGCCAGGCAGGCAGGCGGGATGCGAGCAAGCCAGGCGTCGATAAGGAAAAGCAGGCGGGCGAGCGGGCGAGAGTGGAGGCGCGGTTGGCTGAACCGGCAGACTGGCCGGAGCGGACGCCTGAGCCGCTGCTGCACCTCTCACGATGCACCTCGCTCGACTCGACGCACGGACGATTCTTGGACATCCAAAAACGAAAATGCGGTAAATCCGCATCCTGCTACGACCGCGCCTCTGCGAGTCGGAAGCCTAGGGGAATGAATGCACCTCTTCATGCCAAAACAGCTGCATTTCCATCGCGCCTCCCAACCACCGATCTGAAAGCCGAGGTGCCAGGTGTTGGGGAAGACCGCCTAGCTTGACCCTTCTGACGCGGCATGCCTTCCAGGTTGACTCGACGTCCACGCTCTTCATGCGACTGCCCGCGTGGATGAGGCCCACCCACCCAGTTTTTGCCTTTGCCTTGTCCCTTTTTTCTCTTTTCTCCCTCGTCCGTGCCCGCTCGCTGATCTTCCGATCTGGATTCTGTCGCGTATCCGGCCCCCGTTATCAACTGCCCTCCCTCCGTATCAGACACTTGCTCTGAGTGCATCATCGCATAGCAGTGTGATGAGGCTGATATCGTGAGTGGCACTCTAGCGTCATATCTTGATACAGGGATCAACCATTGCCCATCGCAAGGGCTTTGCTCAGCCGAGTTTGGGTCAAAAGATGACGCCAATGAAAAAGAAGAGTCATCGCCGGCATAGATCCGATATCTGACCTTCGCGAACGGCTCAGCATCCCATCACCGAGCCGGGGATCTCGTCGTTTTGCCTAGATCAGATTGTAGCCCATAGCGAGCTTTTTATCGATCTGGTCTCGCAGACCATGCCCGATGCACGTTCTGCGTACAAACACAGCTTCTGAGCTGCGAGCTTTATTTCTCGCAATCTTGATTGGCTCGCCCAAGTCGATATCTCTACTCGTATGCAGGGTTTGCTCAAGAGAGCCTTTGGCTGCTGCCAATTGTACCGGTCCGGGCACGTCATCCATCTCATCCATGCTCGGCGAAACATCGGCAATCTCATCTGCGATGTACGCCGAGCCAGGCATGTCGGCCACATTCATCGCCACATCGGTGCCAATTCGGCCAGCTCGGGCGAATGTCTCCGTAGCCTCCGCAATGCGTAGCAGGACGGATCTGCCGATTCGACTATCGCAGCCAACCTTTCCAGATTGTTCGGTGCGTGCCGAAAGAATGGTCTCGTCAGATTCGACCTTTCGGCCTAAGCAACGCGGATGAATCTACGTACAGTTTAGGAGCGGCGTTCGGATCCACTCCGCTTTTTGGCTTTGGGGTGGCCTCGACGCATGCATGCGCTCTCTGTGTGGCTTTCTCGTCGAAGCTGTCTGGACTCTGAAGGGGCTGCCAGAACGTCAAAACCTGAGACGGAGGAGCAGGGACCTTCACCTGGGGACAGCAGACAATCTAACAAATCTCCTCCGCCAGGACCACGGCGTCTGATGTTCGCAACGCTGCTCGCCGTCCCACAGCAGACCGCTCAAGTTGTTGCACACGATTCTAGAGAGACTAGCGAGACGGCGGAGCTGCAGGTACTCATCGCGCCTTGCGGTGTGGCAAGTGCGCTCGAAGCATACTGCGGCGAAGGGGACGGCTGGACCCTTGGCGGCACTACTTGTCAGGTCTACATCTTGCCGGCCCCACGAGCGTCTTCCCCACATTCGGGAACGATGGCACCCAGTTTTGGTGGCTTCGGCTTTAGTGGTCTCCTGAGGACGATGCAGGCGCACGATCGTTGCGAAAGCGCAGTGTTCCGACACTGGGCGGCAAGGTGCAGGAGCCGAAACGCTTGCGATGCAGACGCACCCGATTTGTTCCGGTCATGCACCCCGCATCGGTCCATGCAAGCCCGCTTAGCGCCTGCCCGGTGCCTCTCAACATGATCGTTGCGCCCCTTTCACAGCCACTTCTCCAACACACTTGGCGACCTCTCATAGCGAGCGGACCCTTCTCAATGTGCCGGTTAGGTGCTCTTCGCTTCTCTTGCTCGCCTGCTCGAACGCACGTGATTGTCGAGCAACCCTCGTCGATCCTTTCTCGGCGCTGCGGCCCCGTCCCGTTCCGAGAACCTTTCGTTTCACGACAGCTGTGCAGCATTTGCCGGGTCTCCCCGCATCCAAGCCTCGTAGATCCGCCCTGACAGCCGCATCGGCGGTGACCTGATGGATCGATCGGGCAAACTTGCATTCGATGGCCTCATAGTCGATGCGATCGTGTCAGTTCCAAGCGGTGGTGACCATGCATGAACTAGACTATCTAGATACAGGTGTCCATAGGGAACGAGGCTCGGCTTTGATCACTTTAGTTACGACCGACGAACTGCAATATGAGAGGACAAAAGGAGGGTCACGGAGGCGTGAAAAAGTCAGCTTGTTGAATACGATGCTCTCTTGATCGATCCGAGGCTGCAACGACAGCCAACTTACCTGATACACGATTCGGCGGACGAGGCCCGAGAGATGCTCTGGGTTCTGCGCGTACGTTCCCATGACGAGCGACATGCCTGCCGAGGTGAGCAAGACCTCGCCACCGGGCACGAACGGCACGTACGACTTCTTCCTCAGCACCGACCATGCGCTCTCCATACCCTTGGGGAGCACGTAGGCCGCAAGCTCGGCGCGGCGTCGTGAGTCGTCGACAAAGAGCGAGAGACAGGTCATGAAGCCGGTGACCCACTTGATCCATGAGCTGATCAGCATGCGAGAGAACCACTGGGGCACAATGCGACGCAGCCTCTCGCTCGCCTGGATGTAGTTGTACAGAGAGTGCTGCGCGCAGAACAGCGTCTGGAAGATGATCACGAAGACGCCCAAGAACGACGACGAGCGCAAGGAGCCCCGGAGCGAACGGATCGTCGCATCGACCGGGTTCTTGAGGAACTTGCCCGGTCGAAGGAAGATGGCCGGCACAAAGTGAAGCGTGAGGTAGACGGGTAAGATCCAGCGGGTGACCTCGATGAAACGGTCGATGGGACCGCGCCAGTGGCTCGTCTCCCAGGGGTGGACGAGGGCACAATCGACCACGCCGCCGCAGTCTCCCTTTCGCGTTCGGTCCATCCACTCGACGATCTTGCGCACGTTCTTGCCCTTGATGCCGCGGCGATTCATGGCGTTGGGCGCCACGTCCGGGTAGCGCAGAGGGCTGAGCGACAGAGGCTCTGGCACCTTGCCATCTGGGAACCACTTGAGCGCAAAGTCGGCATCGGCCTTGCGGTCAAACTTGATGGATCGGTAGATCTCCGGGACTCTCGGGCTGACCTGCGAAGCTCTCGTGATCCAGTTCTTGTACGACTTGGGCAGCGATTCGGGCGCCTCGAGCCAGGCCCACATGATCTGTCCGCACGCAATACCAAAGGTGATCACGGCACCGTAAGGGATGTTGATCAGGCCGCGTTCATGCGATACGTTGTACGATCCTTCCAAGCCGCGCACAAAGAGCTGCTGCGCCAGGGCAATGCGGTTGTCCGGAGTCTCGACAAGCACGGCCAAGGCCGAGATGGCGCCCGCCACGTACGCATGCCAAACCTTGGAACGAGGGTCGCGCATGAAAGCGTGACGCTTCTGCTTTGCCTTCTCCTTGGCTTTCTCCTCGGGCGACTTGCCCTCCAAGGCGGACCTGCCGGAGCGCGGTGTAGCGGTGCCGCTGCCCGCGCCCGCATCGTCCAGCGCAGCATTGTCGCCAGCCTTCTCGATCGAAAGTGTGACTGCGCCAGATGCCGAAGCGGCGCGAGAGCGTGACTTCTTGACAGGCATCGGCGTCATCAAGCGGAGACCGTTGTGGACCGCCTTGTATAGCGAGGCCCAAATGGCGAAGAGCGCTGCGAAGCGGAAGTTCCGCGGACCGAGCAACGCGATGCCAAAGGCGTTTCGATTGAACTTCTTGGTGCGCAGCGACTTGATCAGCTCCAAGACCAGCATCAGCGTGGCACGCAAAGCGAACGCGAGGTTTCCTGCGCGCAGGCCGCCGCGGACGACGTGGACCGCCAGCCTCTCCCAGTCGCTCGGGATGCGCGCTTCTTCGTCTTGCGGTCGCCACACCTTGTTCCCCACCGACTTGCGGATCTGGCTTCGTGGCATATGTGCGAGATCCTGCAGCCCGGTGACACTGAGGTTGCGTCGCAGCTGTGCAGCGGTCTCGGAGATGTTGGGCGTGGTCGGCCCAGAGGTGGCTTGCCAGCGGGCGAACTCGTCCGCAGAGTCATCGCTGGAGTCTTCGTCCGCATCGCGATTGACCTTGGTCATCATGGGCAGGCGGAGACCAGGAGATCTACGGGAGGCAGGCGCGCTGCCTCCTTCTGCGCCGATCGCTTTCTCCGATGCAGCGTTGTTGTCGCGACGATCGCCGGACGGATTTGGAGCGGTCGGCGGCATGGCGAGCGAGGAAGTCAGGGCGCAACGCGTTGGGTGTCTTCTAGTCTCTGGGTCGACACAGGTATCCGAAGGAGGCTCTCGAGCTCAGAGCAAGAGTGACTGCAGCGCGTCTTGGGAGTCTGGCTCAGCGTCTGGAGGCAAAGTTTCCGAGCTGCACCAGCGACGCGCGTGCTATCCAGACGGCCGTGACGAAAGCGTCCGGCTTGACCTTGACGATGTGAGGTGCGATCCAAGGAGCCGCGTATAGGAAAGGAGGTCGGCGGTGGTTGGTGGCGAATGGACACGATCCTCCAGAGCTGCATCAAAGGGAGGCGGCTGCTTCGATGATGCAAGGTGCTGGTCAACATGTGCTGGGGATGCGCGGCCAAGAGAGCGTTCTTTGCGTGGATCGGCAGGCCCGTGTGGCAGCCGACGACATCGTAGCCGGACGGGCCGCAAGCACCAGGGTTTGCTGCCCGGCTGGCTGCCCCTCGCATTCCGCCCCTTCAGCATTGCAGCTGTCTCACAGCGCCCTCCACCCCGAGTTTGCGACGTACCTTTTTTCCCCCGCCTCGGATCGACCCGACTGTTTCGCCAAAAAAAAGTCACCACCACGCGTCATGGCCAGCGAACAACGATTCGCTCTCAGGCCGGGGCGAGCTGTTGTGCGGCTCACCTGCACCTCCCCAAAGTTTCGCTTCTTTCAACCTCGCCCCGCTCGCTGCCCTGCGTCATTCATAGCTCTAATCCTCCTCATCATGCCGTCCGAGCGGGCCAAAATACAGCACACAGGCGGAGACACAAAAGAGAGCGCATACAGCTAGCTGAAACAGTCGTGTGCTCACAAGGCGAGGCGTGAAAGGAGGATCGAAGCTCCGAACTCTATACTGTAGATATCGATGGCGTGCAGAGGCACAATGATACAGCTGCTCGCACCGTCAGTGATGCAGAGATCTCGGCACGCCAATTGGCTCTTTAATCAGAAGAAGTGCCCCGGTCTGGTGGGAAGAGGCTCATACAGCAAGCAATCAAAGCTCGTTCGAAGGAAACGCGAGCTCCCGAGACCTGCACCTTCCCCACAAAATGGCAGCGCGGGGCGGCGACAGTTTCATGTGAAATGGCTCTCACCCGTGGCGAGGGTCCAAAGAGCCAAGGAGGGACTTGATGCACGGCCGATCATCGGTCATCCTTACATAAGCAGACTCGATCAAAAGAAAAGGAGGATCGAACCCCCCGAAGAGAACTCGATCCAGGTCCATATATTCGGGCAAGCCTCCCCCCAGAGGAGAGAGGCGGGAGGGCGTCGGCGGTAGGTCAAATCGGGTGGCCGTGCAAGCCCACCGACCCCCTCTCTCCAGCCCCCATGCTTGAGCGGGAGTGGAAATGCCAAGGTCTGGACGAGGCGGTGATAAAGCGGAGCAAGAGCACCAAAGAGCGACAGTCAGTCAACTAGATTCAAAGAGCAAATGGTGATTGAGCAGGTGCCAGTCGCGATAGCTCCAAGCACGAGAGGCCGACTGCAACAGACGACACCATCCTCCAGATTCCACCGGCAGCTTCCTGACAAGCAGCAAGTCGGCATGATCCAAGAGAATGGCTCGAGTGTGCAAGTCCTCTGTGATGAGATGCTTTCGCGAAGACAGAACGCCTGCTTGGGGGGGAGGGGGTGGATCACTTACAAGTATGAGGTTCAATCGGCAGGCCGCGCTTGCCAGCTAGCATATATACTCGGCGCGTCACTGCACTGAGCAGCCGTGTCTGTGCGGCAGGGCTGCACAGCGCGACCTTGCGCTGTACGGAGCCCTGTCAATTTTGCAGTCTGGGCTTCGGCTCGAACGCGAATTTCGAGTTTGGATGGCCGTGGACGCGTTACGCTGCGTCTCGTCATCCAGACCGCGATCATAGCTCGACCACAACAACACAAGCACCCGGCCCCATAGCAGCCAATCTGCAGGCACCATTACCGTGCTTTGGAACACGACAGGCAGGACAGCTACCTCAGGTAAGAGATTGACTTCACTTCACGTGCTTCACAGACTTGCAGATCGTAAGACCAGATGGTCGAAATTAACGATGACATTGGAAAGCGCGCCAACAGGGGCATCAAAGCGGGAAGATCTCTGCCTCATCCTAGCCATCCGCGAGCACAGATCAGCGCGGCGCGACTGTGCGACGCTTCGAGCATCGTAAGCCCGCGACGCTTTCGATCTGGCGCACGGATGGCGGAAGAGGCAAGAGGATGGGTGCCAAAAATTGCCAGGCTATCAAAGAGACAGCAAGGACGTGCAATATAGGTAATTTGCAATCAGCAATAAGCTTCTCCTCGGTAAAGACCTCACTGGATGAAGCGCTTGCCCCACTGTGTGTGCGATGACCGAGGCGATGCGAGAACGGCAAGGTGGATCGCGGGACGATGCGCAGTGTCGAGGAACATTGAGAGAGGATTGTGGTCAGCGGCTGTTTCGAACAAAGGCGCATGCATGCTCGTCATCGCAAACGTCGGCATGATCGATTCGCACTGACTTGACAGAGGCGATGAAGTATGCTTTCGAATGCGGATAACGGCATCGTTAGGGTCGGAGTGGCACTTACGAATATGGTTAAGGGGAAGGTGATGGATGCGCCGACGCCGCCCAGGTTATATCTCGCTCGGCCTCCTGGGTGCGACTGAGCCTTCTGCCAACACGACGTGGAGGCGGCCCGTGCCGCAAGAATTCCATCCAGAGGTGATCAAAGGCACCGACCGGTCTGGATTTTCTTTCGGTGTTAGTTTCAGTGTGTTAGACCCTCTCTGTAGGATGTCGAAGGAAAAAAATTGTCGGAGCCGACAACATTGGTCGATTTTTAAAACTTCCCACGCTTCGGATGAGTTACACGCTTCCAGCTCAAGATTTTGCCTGCGCTAAAGGCCAGACCGCTCGTCAGCACGTGAGCCAGGTGGCCAGCCGCCGTTGCTGCAATCCAGTCAGTGGGAGAAGGAGACCGGCCAGCAGGCCCTGGCGGCAGGCGCGATACTTGGAGCCAGGAAGACCAGCAAGCCAGTGGACAGACAGGCGTGGAAGCACCTGCGAACGACAGAGCCGGCCAGTCAGTCAGTTGGCGATTCAGAACTCGAGGGCCAGCAAGCTGGTGTGGGTCGCGGCGAGGAATCTTGGCTGGAGCCAGAGAGCCAGTAGATCGTGCTTTACCTTCACGCCTCTCGTCACCATCAAGACTCCATCAACATCGCCCAACATGTCTCTCGTTCCCCCCGACCCGTCGCAGAACTTCGCCTTCATCTTGCGGTGAGCATCCAGCACCCAACGCATGGTTTCGAATCGCGCAGTTTCTATGATCAGCCAGCCAGCCAATACAGCCAACGCAACCGCCACAATCAGCATGACACGCACTAAATGCTCGACCAGCTGCTCTCGACCCAGTGACCTTTCCCAAAGCACCAGCATGCGACAGTTCCAGTCGTGAATCCAGCGGTATCCAGATGTCACGACCGAGGAAGGTCCGACCGTATGGAGACTCGAATCGAAGCCAGATAGGCGAGCAGTATGCTGGAGGGATTTCGACGCTGCTGTGTGCTTGGTACACCGGCAGCCCCCCTCACGAGCTCAGATGGGACTCATCAGGGGTTGTGTTTTTTGTAGATGGATCCCCAGCCAGTGTCAAGAGCATCGTGTCCTCGACCCGTACATATCGGCGCGGGCAGTCCCCGGCACAGGCAACCCGACATCAGCTCTTCCCGCAACGATGCCGCACGTCAGTCGCAAGGGACGGTGCATCACCGCCTGGAACCAGTGCCGTCCGTGTGACGTGCCTGCTGTCCATTCATTGCATTCACGGTTCCCGCCCACCAACAATGACACTCAGCACTTCCGTTCGGCAATCAGGCAGGCATCTGCGTTACCTGTCAGCACTGTACCATTCACCAACTCTCGGCTTGCTGCGACCGATCATAGAACTGCCATGCGATCGATCCCATACCAACATCTCTTTCGAGCATCATACTGATTCGCGTTCCCCTCTTTCGCTCCCGTCGCCTTTAGTCTGCTCAACACCAACGTTGACGGCAAGATCAAGGTACAGTACGCCCTGACCCAGGTCAAGGGTGTTGGCCGCCGTTACGCCAACATTGTCTGCAAGAAGGCCGATATCGACCTTGGCAAGCGGTAAGTAGCAAGATGTTCTGCTTGGACCCGGACCATCGCATGAATTGTCCATGCTCACACGTCTCGATACCCCCCTTGCTACGAACGACAGTGCTGGTGAGCTCAACTCCGATGAGCTCGAGCGCATCGTGACCATCCTGCAGAACCCCGCCGAGTTCAAGATCCCCGCCTGGTTCCTGAACAGGCAGCGCGACATTGTTGACGGCAAGAGCAGCCAGCTCCTGTCGAACAACATCGACTCGAAGCTGCGTGACGACCTGGAGCGATTGAAGAAGATCAAGGCCCACCGTGGTATCCGCCACTACCTCGGCCTGCGTGTCCGTGGTCAGCACACCAAGACCACTGGTCGCCGTGGCCGCACCGTTGCCAACAAGAAGAAGTAAACGGAGTTCCGATCGACAAGATGCATCTTGCCCTTTCTGGTTCCTTTGTTCTTTCTTCTCAACGCAGCATTCTTCCACTATCAACCACGTCCTTGTCTCGCTCATCCATCATCATGGTGTTAACATTTCAGTCTCTCATCGCTACAGTAAAATATCGAGACCTAAGCTCTTACTCTGGTGATCGCCAGACGAGCTGTTGCGGCAAAGGACAAGTAAACTCGTCTCTCGAGGCCCGCTGTATCAGGCCGTTTGGGAGGAAGGGGGGTGGGAGTTTTGCGAGCGGAGGGAGGCGGAAGATGATGGGTGTTTGTGGGCGCGAGCTGTGAATGACGATGAAGGAGTGGCTCATCGGATGGCCTTGATGATCATGTTGAAGGCGCCGTTGTGGTCGCGACCGGTAGTGTAAGCGCAGTCTTGGTAGGGGCAAAGAAAGTCTGGTTGCGAGCCAAGCCTGTCGTTGAGTCTGCCGCAGGCGCCACAGGTTTTGGAGGTGTAGGCCTCTGGCTGGACCAAGAGCAGCGTGGGATGGCCGGCCTTGTGGGGGAAGCGCGCATCGTATGCAATGTCGTGGCACTTGATGGCCAGACGATTGACAAACGCCGAGTGAGACCAGGTGAGGAGCTCCCTCTTGGTCGAGATCTTGAGGCGGCTTCTGCGACGCCGGACCATCCCGAGCACCTCCATGCGTGGCATGACGATGACGTCGGACGAGAGGGCGAGGAAGTGGGCGGTGCGGCAGTGGACCTCCTTGACGAGGTTCTTGATGTCTGCCATGATTCGCCTCCATCGCTTGTGCAGCTCCGAACGCTCGCGAGCGGGCCGGACAAAGCGACGCTTTCGCATTTCGCGACTGACTCTGGTCGAGGGTCTGCGATTGAGCCGCTTCATCTCGTTGATGCGAGACTGGACACGATCTGCCGCCAGGCGTAGCTCGCAAAGGCGTGCCCTGTCGTCTTGGCCTCCAATGTCGATCGTCTCGCCTTCCGAGGTGTAGACGGTGAAGGGCGTCCTTGCACCCGGATCGATCGACTTGACCTTGATGGCGCCGTTGAGGACGGTGATGCCTCGCCTCTTCTTCTCGGCCTGCTGGTCTGCGTTGAACCGCTTCGGATCGACCAGCTCGTATAAGACGTGGAGATACCAGCGACCGTCTGCCCCGCAGCAAACACGCCACTCCCTTGGCAGCTTGAACGCGTTGGCGCGCGACCACCGGCAGAGCTCCAGCAGGCGAAGTCGCTGGCGCTCACCGCGGAGGCAGATCCTGGCTCGCACCTCGCTGTAGCGAGTGCCACCGATGGTGACCGCAGGCATGACCAGCTTCAGGCCTGTCACCTCTGTGCCCGTCACATCGTACAGCGCCTCGATCCTGCCAGTGTCGTGGTTGAAGGCGACCGAGAAGCCGCGGCGCTTGTCCGTTTGCTTGGTCGGTGGACGGATGCTGGGCAACGGCCGACGCCTCCCTCCAGGCAGGTTCTCGTACCTAGTGATGATCGACTTGCGCTGGGCGACGGCCTCAAGGATCACCTGCCTCCGTGCATATGTTGGGCAGCGGAGGAGCTCCGGATGCTTGCTTGAAAAGGCGCTGCCGTTGTTTGCCAGAAGGGTATACAAACGGCGCTCGTTGAGATGCTCGTGAGACGTCGAGGTGGCCATGTTGACCAGCCTGACCGCCTCGTTCTTGACGAGTCTTGTCCTTCTGCGAAAGGTCCGGATGCGGTCTTTGAGCTCGGTCGGAGCATGGATCCGATACACCGCCGTCCGGGTGTTGGTGATCTCGGGCTTGTTGACCAACGTCTGCGAGGACTGAGGCGTTGGCTGTGTGGATGGAGGAGGAGGACGAGGAGGAGGCGCGGCGGCAGCTGCAGACGGGGTCGGGCCGGGTGGCGCTGGAGCATGATCCAGATCCATGGGGGTAGGCTCGGCCGTCACGACGGATGACGGTGCTTGACGAGCAAGAGGGGCAAGGGCGGGGGCATTGGCGGCGGAAGACGGGACTTGGCCGGCAACAGGAGCAAGGGGATCGGCGGCACCTGAGCCTGCAGAGGGAAAGGCGGGGCCAACGTCGGCAGCCTGCAAGATGGCTCGAACCACCTCATTGCCTAGATCCTCGACAGGAAGACGACCTTGATCCGTGGGAAAGTAGTCGCTGCTACAATCCAACACCGTCGTGTGCGTAAAGGGCCAGCGCTTCTGCTGCCCTGCCGTGGCTGCGAAGTCCGTGACCATTGCAAAAGTCCAGCATCGACTGAGGGCCATCTCGGTGGGTTCGAAGGTGTTGATCGACTCGTGGCTGAGCTGGTTGGCCTGGGCAGGACGCACAAGGGCGTGATACTTGTGCGCCAAGTGGCCGTCGTAAAAGGGGTAGACGTGGTGACCACGATCAGGACCTCGCCTCGGCATCTCTCGCTTGCTTCTGGCAATGTTGCTTAGCACAACGCTGGTCATGTTGGCCTGAAGAGGAAGGGAGGGAATGCGATAGGGAGGTATGAGTGGCAAGCTACGGTCCTTCGGGGCCATGACGGTATATATGCGTTTTGATTCCTCGACTTTGTACAGCTGCGCATCACTGAACAGCACGAGAGCTCGCTGATGCCAGCATCGAGTCTTTACCCAAGCAACTGGGGCTATGTGGCTCTCTGTCCGAGGCGGTCCGCAGTCCAATCATTCGATTGAAACGCCTTGCGCTTGCCCAAAAGGAATAGCATACAAAGCACCATTTCAGCTGACGGCGCAGCCGCATGGCTGGATGAACTACGTGTGCCCTTTCCCTCGGGATGCATTGGTCTTGGCGCAATGTGACAGCCGCTGGTGAGCATTCGGACGCCACCCTCACCATCGCGTTGGCTATCGGCGCGGTATGACAGGCTGCAGGACCTCGGTCACAGAGTCCTTTTCTTCAGCGGTTGGCGCACAACACGGCCAGAGCATCTTGCATGCGTCTCGAGCTGACATGTCGGCGCAATGCCGACGGTCAGATGACCTTGGTGTTGGAGTAATTCACATGTGTGTCCTTTGTGACTTTAGCCGCTGGCGCCATGAGCAAGTCACAGGTGCTGCCAAGTCGCCAAACGTCGGCGCACTGGCCATCGGCGCAATGTGGCCAGGCAGATGGTTTGCTCACGGCTTTTAGACGCGAGGATCCAGCACTCTCCGCAATCACAGCCGGGTGATCCGACCCAAGCACATGGGCAACCGCGGGACGCCAACGTTAGCCATTGGCGCAATGTGGTTGGTCGCATGACCTCTCGTGCAAAAGAATCATGACTTTTGCGGTGCTTCCGGATGATTGGCTTTAATTCATGGCCAAGCTGTCCTAGCCGTACGCCTCGACCGCAGACTGACTTTGGCGAAGAAGGTGAGAATAAGCCCAAAGCACACTGTAGCCGCTCACTCAGCTCACTCAGGATCGCTCAATTCGCCAAAGTCACTCACATGGCCGAGATCATCCCCAATGAATCAGCCGCTGGGCAAGACCTTGTAAGCTGCCACTGAACTGCGGCGACCAAGACAAACGTCATGTCGACCCCGATGGCTTGAGCTGACTGTGCTCACGGTCCCGCGATGCGCGCTGTCGAGACCACACTCCTGCTCAGAAAGTAGCTGCGAGTGTGGTCGTCGCAAATCGGCCAACGTATACCGACCTGGAAGCTTGGATTCTGTGGCCAGGGGCCGAAGCGTTTTCTATTTTATTTTTCAGATTGGGAAGCTGCGCTTGTGCTGTGCTGCCGGATCTTCCTGTTTCCAGACGGCTTGGATTTTTTGGAAATTGAGATTCGGAACTCGGGTAAAAAAGCTCGGAGAGATTTCGCATAAAAAGGGTTCTGATCTACCCTCGTCGCTCCACATCCACCATCCATCTCTTCCCGTCGGCTCCTCGCTGACCTCTCGCTGGCTCCGCGCTAGCACAAGACTCTTTGTGGCTCCTCGCTGCACCTTCGCTGGCTCTGC